AGCAATGGGATTATTATTAAATTATTTATGTCGTCTAATGAAGAAAAATATGTGGTGTAAACGAGAATAAAGTCTGTGACAATGATAAACTAGATACAGAATATAAATTTAGATAAAAATAAATGAAAGACTTGTTTAATATGTTAGGAATGTGGTAAAAATGAAGGTAAAAATGAAGTCTGGTATCGTTGTGTGGGTTGTGATTTGTGAAGTTTTGTGACTTTTTACTTTGATTGTAATTACACTTTGTAATATTTTTTCAAAGATTTGTGTACTTTTTTCAAATTGAATTATTTTTTTTTTATTTGCAATTTTTGTTTTTATTCGCTATGTATGTCAAACTACATAAACTAGGTATATGCCAATAATTTGGAAGTAATTTTTTTTCGCAATTTTTACTTGTAGAAATGCTTTTACACCCTTTTTTATAAATACCTATGTATTTTCTAATTTTTCTAAAAGGTTTGTTTTAAAACACCATTTGTGGAAGATATGTATATTTTTAAATAATATAAAAACTTTTCATAAATTAACTGATGTCCGGTACGTTTGTCATGAATAGAAAATTAGTCCACGAGGTCATTATCATTAATTTATGTGCTTTATGAATAAAAAGAGGGCGTGTAAGTGACCATCAAGCCGCCATTTCGTTAATAATCTCCCACAACTTTTTCTGTTTGAAATTATTCGGCTCCGTTGTTCCTTCTCATTTGACGTAAAAAGTTTGGCTAGAGTGTGCCCTAATTATAAGCAAGCGAGACAAAAATTTATTCAGTCCTCCTTTCTAATTTACAATGATAATTTGAAAATTATGCCTGTATCGTAAGGCATCAAAACTCATTACAGTCATAACTCTCATAGCGCGTTAAAATTCCGACGAGTGAACAAGACACATGATTTTTATGCTTCAATAAACTTAATGAACTTGCTTTGCTCAGTCTGATATTAAATTAAAATCATCCAAGCCCACAATTTCCTGATATCTTGATTGCTTGAAATTCTGAAAAGGTCTACCATAAAGTAAATATCGGTGGACTGGTTGCGCAAACACCAGAAAATAATGTTATTTTAGGATTTTAGTAAAAATATCAATGATATTATTCCATTACTTCTCGGTATATTTTTTTCATAAATTAAATTAGGTACAAAACAATGTTTTTTTGTAATAAACAAAGTTTTAAAATGTTGACGCATTTATTGCATTGTTTATTTGATATTTTTCAATATTTATCCATTAGCTTGTATAAGAAAAGTAAACTGTCTTCTGCGGGAGCATTAAAAATAGTTAACAAAACATCTGGACTTTTATCAGTTGTTGCATGAATCTGCAATGAGAAACCTACCATATCAGTTCGTCTAGAAATGAACTTAGTTTATTTAGCCTTGTTGTTTCTAAACTGCTAATTAATTGCCAACACAATTCACTGAACAAAATACAAAACAAATCCTAATTAATTTTCTTCGTTAACAAAAGCGTTGCAACTAATTATTTCCCGTAAATTACTTAAATTTGACTCGAAGTCGAAGATTGCAATGATTTTAATTTTAACTTTTATGCAGTTCTTAAAAAAATAAACAATTAATCATCGAAATTTACAGGTCCATAATTTTACAGTAATCACCAAATTATTTCGTCCGCTGGAATCACATTAAATACGTTTCAGTGACTTGGTGGACAAGACAGAATTTAATCACGAGCTTTATACGATATCTGGTGTTTACAACGAGAAACATATATAAAATGTTTTCATCGAAAACGAAATTGTTTTGTATAAACAAGAGTGAATTGAAGTATTTGTATTTTGCTCGGAAATATACAGTTGTTTGATTTACGTTGTGATGTAAGTAAAAATCTGATGCTTTTTCACCCTCTTGTATGGTAGTAGAAGTGCAGTTAATTCCTAAAAGCGGTTAAACACTGCATGAGGATTGCTATAATTTACAAATGCGCCATATGTTGCATGTAATATGTTAAATTGGTTGTGAATTATTTGACGTCTAATAAATTCCAATGTCATATGAAGTAAACTACGTTTGCAATAATTTTATGATTCTGTTTGAGTACACCGAACTTTGTAATAACAACAATGGGAAATTGAAATTTAATGGGAAAATAAACAATCAAAATGAGCTGCTATAAGTAAACTTATCTGAATACATTTTTTAAAGTTTCTAATTAGACAAAAGTGATTATTAAAATTAATTAACGCTTCTATTGAAAAGAGAAAAGTCGGAAATTGAAATTTATTGGGTGCACAAAATCTGATGAAATCTGAGTTTTGCAATGTTAAAAAATGAACAATTTTTTACTCTTTTACTTTTAAAATATAATAACAACCCATAATTTGATTAATTTCTTAAATGATATTTCTTTATTTTGTATTTAGGTATAGTCTTGATATATGTATGTATTTTTGGCAATATTTTGATAAAGTAACCAAGTCTAATTCCAGTTGCCAGTTTTCCTTTACAGCATTTCAGTTTATATTACTGTGTTTGAAAATTGTTTTTTATAGTAAATCCATTTTTTAAACGAGTAAGCCGATGTTTCAGCGTATTTTTGAGGGATGTTTTTTTCTTTGATAATTTTTAAAATACCCTGAAACGAAAAAATACCTTTTTGGGGTGTTGAAAACCTGAGAGATTTGAATAAGATTGTTGGCACTTTTTCGGTCGTTTATCAATGATTTTTGCATGCGCCAATTGGTCTGGTCCAGAAATAAAAAGCCGTTTTGAATGTATAAAAACAACGGCTTTTGTAAGTTTTTTAGAGTGCTCTTGAGATAATTTTGCATGATTTTGTGTGCCTTTTAAAGGTTTTTTCATGTGGTCAATTTTTGGTGGTTTATTTGGTTCTTTTGGGGTGCATAAAAGTTAATGCTTTTTAAGGGGTTTTAGGCCTCTTTTAGTTGTTTTCTTTTCGGAAAATAGCTAAATTTGTAGGATTCTACCCTGTTTTTAAGACGCCAAATGAATACATTTTTTAAAGTTCCTAATTAGATAAATTATTAAAATGAACTAACGCTTCCATTGAAAAGAGAAAAGTCGGAAATTGAAATTTATTGGGTGAACAAAATCTGATGAAATCTGAGTTTTGCAATGTTAAAAAATGAACAATTTTTTACTCTTTTACTTTTAAAATATAATGAAAAGCCATAATTTGATTAATTTCTTAAATGATATTTCTTTATTTTGTATTTAGGTATGGTCTTGATATATGTATGTATGTATTTTTGGTAATATTTGGATAAAGTAAACTAGTCTAATTGCAGTTGCCATTTTTCTTTAGAGCATTTTAGTTTATATTTCTGTGTTTGTACATTACAACAATACATTACATACATTATAAAAATGTGAGTTTGTTATTTGATAAAACACGAAAGCAATTACTGAAAGTTTCTATTTTCAATGTTTTTAACAGCTCTTAGGTAAATTTCAGGTTTAGTAACACTATTTCAGAAAACAACATGTTGACATTGTTTATTTTTCTTCAGGTTTTCTAAACAAACGTTCTTTGCAACCACTTTGAACCACTCAATAGGGAATTTATGAGTTTGACATTCTTTACTAACAATGTTTTGTAAAGATTTATCATTTTTCATTTGAAAAGCGTTCAATGCACTTTGATTCGATTCAAGGAAAGTTAAATTCTGTCATCTGCTATCTCACGAGCCTAAACGTGACCCCAACGTCACTCCCGGAGCTTATTGCGTAAATGGGGTGCGATAATACCCGAATCTTGCTTTTTTGAGATAAACTCATATTTGGCAAAGTTTCAGATTTCTATACGAAATGTGGACCACTTGAAGAATTTGTATCCAGGGTCAGTGAATTTTGTCCGAATGTTTTATTCATGGTGGCAATATTGACTGTATAAAATACAGATCTCTATCTTTCTGACACGTTTTATTTCTATGAAATACGACATTAGGGATGATCGAACACGATCGAAGTATAATAATAGAATTTGTTGGTTAAAGACAGATTGACCTAAAAATTCAATTATGTATGCACTCGCATAAAGCTTTCAACAATTAGAGCTTAAAAGCTATTTCTACATGAATCAGTAAGGGTTGGCCACCCTGTCCCAAGCTTGCTCTGGTCATTTTCAACTAGGGGTTGCAATGTTAAATGTCCTTAAATTGTTTGATTGGCTGTGTGACGGTCGAAACTTAGATTATGTTGCTTATAAGTTTTCCCCTTAATTTTTTTGACTTCCGTCGAGATTGTTCGATAGTCTTCCGGTTTATTTATCCTCCCTTGAGATCTTACAGACTGATGATGATGGGAGCGTTGAGAAATATAACGCTGACTTGAGGTTTGCACTAATAAGGGTGGGAAACTTGGACGAATAAATATGGGTGCGGGTTGGTAGGTAGGTATTTGCTTTACAACCCCATTATTAACTTTAAGACAAACATTAAATAAAAAGCAATTTTAGAGGTTTTCATTTCTTTACGAGCGGCTAACATCAAAAGAATTTAAGTTTTAAGAGAGAATCTAAAATCGTTAAATTATAAGTAAATTTATCAGAAAAAACACATTTTTTGTAATCTTTATGTATATAACAAATGTCAAAAATGATTTACACACTAGAACTGGTATTTATTTTCTCTAGGTTGGTATTTGCTATTACTAGGAATAATTATTATTAATCCGCTACATCTACATTTACGACGCATAGCCGAAGGATTTTTTTGTTAAAAAATACAGATTTTTTTTCGTTTTAATGCAGAATAAAGTTATAACGGTAATACGTTATTCCAAAAAATGTTTCTGTTGTAATCTAGTAGTTAAGTAAAATAACGGAAACAAACAAAGAAAAAACTTCTTGAATTTTAGTCGTTTTTCGTCCGTTATAGGCCATTTTGTAAAAAAACTATTAAAAAACTTTGAAAAACTGTCAAAACCGTGTTCGGACGTCACCGATTTGTGTCGAAACTTGCCGAACAGGTTGCCTACTCGATTCTAACAGGATTTTGTAGCAGTCGTTGCGCGTCAGTTAGTATGGACGTGGTTATAGCTCTTTCTCTCTCGTTTGCTACATTTCGTAAACTTTTTCAACTTTTTTAAAAGAAAACGAACAATTTTTACCACACTAAGTGATATTTTACAAGTTTCTCTTTGACTTTAGTGACTTTTTATTATCCAGTATGCTGTGTAGGGTGTCGTATTTTGTCTTTGTTGTCATCGTTACAGGTGAGTCAAGTTGGCATTGTGCAATGCCACCTGAGATTACTTGACTTTGTTTAGCTGTTCATAACCTCACTCGGCGCTTTAATTGATGTTCTAATTAAAATAAATTGAATTAAATTAAAAAATAAATTAAAAGAAAAATTAATTTTGATTAAAAAAATAATTTCAAGAAGAAATTTAAGATTGAACACTTTATTTATTTTGCTAAATATTCCAAACATCGTCTTATAGGTAATAATAAAATTAGTCTTAATTTTATTCTCATACATATTTTATCTAGTTAAGCAAACAGACGTAAAATCGATACTGTTCTGTAAGTTTAAAAAAAAATATTCAATATTTTTCAATTTAATTTTTGTTTTTTTTTTCTTTTTTAATTCTTTAGGGGAAAACAAAATGATAAGCTGTTTCAAGTTTTCTGCTAAAATTGATTTATCAATTCCACTCTAATTTTGTACCTGTTGAATATTTTATGTTTGAATAATCTTATCGATTTTCTTTGTCGCAAAAATTAATTCAACATAAACTTGAAGTAGGTGGATTTCGAAAGTGTCAAGTTCAACTTCCTGTAATTCAGGAGAATATTTATTAAATTGGTCGGTTGATGGATAAATTTAGGATAAGTTAATTTAGTTTTCAGTTTTTTTAACCACATTTGGTAAACGTTGTGGCATAAATCCGTTATGGCGAATATTTAGAGTAAATTGAAATTTGTGGTTTGGTTTTGTTTTGATATTGGTAAATTAGATTAATTACTTACCGTTTTGTTGAGTTTAGTGTATTTTAGTAGATTTATATTGCGCCTCGCTGGTTCCAGTTTGAATTCGTGGTTTATTTTATTAGGCACCTTGTGTCAGTTTTCATATATTTTTAGATTTGTATAAATAGACGAATTTCACTGCTTTTTTAAAAAAAAATTTGAAACACTTTATAATCGACAAAGCCGAATTATGGATCATATACTGAAAGTATGAAAAATAAACAATTTCCTGTGAATATGTGTACAATTACAATCATTATTGGCTATTTGCGTTTTAATTTGAACTTAAAATGAAATTTTTATTTGCAGTATTTTTAGGTTTATTGAAATCAGTTTTCCACTTGTCAATAGTAATAATTTTGTTGAATATTCTATTTTCTACTATCCGGTAAATTAATCTTTCCGGTCCCATTTTGAGTTCGGGAAGTGTGTTATTACGGTATCAGAGCTGGTAAGTACAACATAAGAATAAAGAGTCCGGTAAATGAGTTATTAGGGTATCAGAGGCCGGTAAATGTAAGTATCTAAGCAAGACTTACCTGATTGTTATATTTAACAGAATAAAACGTGAAATAAAATTTGGCAAATTTTCTTGAAGCCGTATGAAAAAAATAATTACGATAAACGTACTTATTACAAGGTAAATTCCTAGTACCAAATTGGTGAAAAATGTTACCTGTATGTTTTTCGACACGCATTCACTTGAAGCAAGCGTAATTTTTGCCGTTGCTCAACCGTGTCTCTATTTATAGACTTTGCATTTTACTAAAATAATTGTGTTATTTGCCGGTGAATTGTTCGTATTACTCGACAAACGTGTTTCTGTGTTTATCGGCGCTACGTGTGTAATGTTTCTGCTGGCAAGAGGAAATGCATTTAAAACAACGGTATGTTAGTGTGCACACCGGAAAAACTGTCGACAGCGAAATACCATTTCTATTTTTATCCCTAGAGAAATGAAAAATAGAGTAATTCGCACATGTTGCTGCGTATAAATTCAACCAACTGTGCTTACTGTGGATAATACACATTAATTTACTATTTACAATTAAATTGGAAATTCGGTTTGCATTTACGTTAAATGTGTTGCCGACGAGTAGAAATTTCTTGGCTACATGTGGTTGTAATTTGAGTCTTGGCATGACAAATTTGGGGGTGACTTTCAGCATTAAACATCCAGTAAATCGTTTGAAACGAAAGATGTAAATTATTCACATTGGTGGTGAAATTTTTTGATTTATTGTCCTAAAGTTATTTACACAAACGGATGGATTAAATCTTTAGTATTTGTTCAGGACGAGAATTTTCAATAATGACGCTCATGTTTGACTTAACTAAGAGTTAGCAAAGTTATAAAGTCCAGCGTTTCAAAGGATGCTTTTCCTAAAATTCTGCATTTAGTTGTGGCCACTAGAGGTTTATATCCAATTATAATGTAACGAAGGTTTGGCGTTAATCCACCCCTCTCTGAGTTATCTATTAATTAAACTTTGATTCTGGTCGTTTCGGTGGTATTTTTCTGGAATTTGGTTTTAATAGTCGAGACGTTTGAAGTGTCACGTTTTGTGCTAAAGCCCATTGTAAATTATCCCAACTATTAGCTTTCCTTTGCTAATTTGTGTAAGCTGTGTGAAAAGAACGAGAATAGGTAAAAATGCAAGAACGTGCTTTTCTGAAAATGCGTTCAATACTTTAGCTTTGTAAACCTTCGAAATTATTGTTTTATGACCTGTGAACTCATGCCCAGACGTGAGAAGGTTTTCACAAACTTAACAACTCGATTACCTGCGATTTGTTTATTTTTCTTGTAAATATTTGACGATCGGTCGGCATTGTTATTGTCTTGAACATAAAACTTTTTAACTGTTCTAATACAAATAAACAATTGATTGGGTTTTATTGCTCGTGTTTTCCCCAATTTCGTAATGAGATTAGAGAACACGCAGCAAATTTTACCGTTACGATCGATCTGTACAAATTACACCTCGGAATTGAATTTTATTCAAAGTGTAATCGTAAATACAAAACAGAAAGTCTTGTTAAAAAATGTGTCACGTGTATGCAATTTTTCCGAATTTTCCCCTCAAATACGTTCTGTTTACTAATGAAGATGGGACTTTCGTATAAATCAAGCGACATTTTCATATTGGATCCTTGAAAGGTGCAATTTTTTTGGCGCTTGCTTTGTCAGCAATTAGCTAGCAATGATTGATGATGTGGAAAGTGTGAAAGCTTCTTGTCTGTGAAAAGTTTCAGATCAGGGAAAGTAAATTGTCGTTTCTTGTAGTAGCTAAAAACACAATTAGAACATTTTATTATCACGATATGAATAATTTTATCTGTTATCGTTATCTCGGGTTTTGGGAAAACATTTTTTCGACTTTCTTGGCGCAGCGGAGCATTAAATTCAGCGGGATTTTCGCCCATACATATACATTTTAATTCAGGAAATGTGCTCTGGTTTAATACATCTTTGTGTTATTATTCATATTGCGGAAGATTCATGTCTAGTAAATTTCGCTGATAAAATTGAAAAACTTACGTCCTGGCCTTGGCACATCTCCAGATTTTTGTGGAGAAATTCCGATATGTTGATTCGATTTGTTGAAAAGCGACCTCATCACCGTTTCTCTTATCAGATGATAAAGAATGTGGGATGATAATATTTGTTTGGGTTTGGTTGCGGCGAAATTCAGTTTCTTATCAGTGCAACAAGTGCAGAACAACGCTGCAGGTTGTAACAAAGGTAGTAAATTTGAGTGCTGTCAAGGAATGTGTTGGCGTCCGACAAATCCACCGAAATTATGGTTTTGTTCCTCTGTAGAGCATATCGAAATTTTGAATAAATTCTTTGCGCTGGTAATATGTTTAAAAAGCTTTGAATTAACGCCAGACCCTCCAAATCCTTACTAATATCGCTAATTGCCGAAACCGAGCTCGATTTACTGCCTTTGGAGATTACTACAAAATTTATTGCCACACTGCAACTATTCACAGGTTTTAGGTTTTTAGAGAGACTTGTACCTCTTAATTAAGGCCACAACTTAGTTAAAAAGTGACCCAGATAGGGCCACTCCCGTTTAAAATTTGCTTTAAATGAAATGAGGCCCCGGTAAAATAGAATCTTTACATACAACACACCTGAAAGTGTGTTATTTCTTGCTGCCTAATTATGACTTTGTTGTGGTTTTACTTTGATGAGCTCCTATGTTCCAGTTAATTGTAACGTAACATAATTAAACTACTCAATTTCATACTAAAGTTTTTCTTGACTCGAAATAAAACAGCGGTGACAGTAATACAGTTTTATATCGCTGTTTGACACAACTGGCGGTTGGAAATGTAAAAATATGGGTCACATATGAGACAAATATTTTTTCCTATTCACTTTTTGCCGAGTTATAAACATAAAAATACTTTTCATATAAATTGAATGATCACAGCTGAGCTCAAGATTATTCAAAAACTAACTCGTAGCGTATTGTCCGTCTGTTTTATACGATTTGTTATCCCATGAATAATAAGAAATTGAGGAAGTTTTCCTCGTTTCCTGTGTTACTACAGTCAAAACTTGTTCCGTTTTACTGTATATGGAAAAAAATCCCGGTTTTGTAGCTTGTAAACAAAAATGCGTTTTAAATAATCGTTTGAAATGCGTTTCAAAGTAAGTTATGCAGCCAGCAATCCACCGGAAAATTAACATTCAAAGTTTTCTCACTTCGATCGTAGGAATTCAAATACGTTCTTAAAATTAAATGCAAAGTTATTCGTATTTTTCTTTTAGAAATGTGAAATGCAGTTTAGAAACGCGAAATTTACTAAAAAAGGCACTGAATGTATCTTGCTCGAATAATGATTTTTCGGTCGCCTCGAGGTAACTCTATCGGAAAATGTGTCGTGTATAAAATAGTGTAAAAAATTGAACCCTCATAAATTTGTTGCCGTAAGACGTGTGGCTTAGGTAAACGAGGTGGTTTTTATATTCAAAGAAGCTACTTACTTGAATGAGAGCAAGATCAATAGTAATTAAGACGAGTGATTTGGTTTTAATCTAAACTTCAATAAGAAATTTTCGTATATAAACTGGAAGTGACAACAATTTAAATTATCTTAAACGCATTTAGTACATTATTTTCCTCCTGTAATAGCTTCAGGATTATTTCAAAGTACTCAAGTTGAAACTGGAGGTAATTTGGTTTCTGAATATAATAGGAGAATTTCATTTCTTTTGTTTCAAATAAAG